TCTACAGCCTCTCCAGCATTTTTTATTGGTAGTTTTCTTGATCCTGGCCATTCTTTCTGGAGTGAGATGGAATCTCAGTGTTGTTGTAATTTCCATTTCTCTAATAAGTAATGATGATTTTTCATGTATTTATTTGTCATTTGTATTTATTCATCTGAGAAATGTATATTCATCTCAAATGCCCACTTTTGGATTGGATCTTTGAATTTTGGGGGTCTGATATTTTTTAATTCTTTATATATTTTAGACAGAATTCCTTTGTCTGAGGGACAGTTCACTAAGATTTTTTCCCAGTTTGTGGGTTTTCTTTTCACTATGCTGGAGATTTCTTTTGACATGCAGAAACTTTTTAATAAGACACAATCCCACGTACTGATTCTGGTACGTATTTCTCATGCAGTTTGATTTCTGTTATGAATTCCCTACCTACTGTATGTCTTCATTGCTTGTACCCAATTTGTCTTCCAATAATTTTAGTGTTTCTGTTTTAATATTTATATTTTTGATCCCTTTAGATTTTAATTTACTATGTGGTGATAGGTATGAGTTTAGTTTTAGTTTTTGGTATATGGAGAGCAAGTTTTTGCAGCACCATTTATTAAAGAGACTGTCGTTCTTCCAGTGAACATGTTTGGCCCTTTTATCAAAGATAAGGTGGTTGACTGTGTTTGTGGTTGTGGTTGTATCTTCTAATCTATTCCATTGATCTTCAGCTCTGTTGTTAATCCAGTACCATGTTGATTTTACACAGTTGCTTTGTAGTATAATTTCAAGGGATTGTGATGCCTCCTTCCAGATGAACTTTAGGAGTGATTTCTGTAGATCTGTGAGGTATGTTGATGGTATTTTTATTGGGATGCATTGAATCTGTATAACACTTTTGAGAGAAAGGCCATTTTCACAATATTCATTGTTCCCATCCATGAGCAAGGGATTTATTTCCATTTTCTGAGATCTTTTCTGAGGTCTTTGAATTTCAGGGGTCTGATATTTTTTAATTCTTTATACATTTTAGACAGATGGAGACTGGAGAATACAAGTTTGATGGGACTTCAAAACAAGATGACACTAAATCAGCACTAGCTATTATGATGTCTTATTTTCTCCAAAATAGCTGTTCCTACCATCCGATCTTCTCTGATTCATTTCTGTTGAGCTCAATTTCTGTTGTTTGTTGTCAGTTGTTGTCTTCTTCATTTCATTTTCTGCTCCATTCATTGTGGCCTCTCTGCCACTATTTCTGGAATCTTGGTATTTTCCTTTTTTAGACTATCCTGCAATATTCTCTGTAGAGTTGAATTGGTGGTTGCAAATTCCCCTAGTTCCTCTTTATCCTAGAAGCACCTTGTTTTTCCATCAATTTCTGGGGACAGTTGTGCAGGATATATCAATCTTGGTTGGAGGTTATTATCTTTCAAAGCTTGAATTATTTCCCCACCACCACGCTCCTCGTGATTTGATAGTATGTGCCAAGAAGTCTGCTGTAATTCTGATGGGTGTTCCCTTGTAAGTGATCTGTTTCTTGTCTCTGATGGCTTTTAATATTCTGTTCTTATATTGGTTTTCTGGAATTCTAATTATTATATGCCTGGGTGTAGCTCTGTTTGGGTTGTAGGTGGCTGGAGTCCTGTATGCCTCATTTATCTGATTATCTTTACCATTTGCTAAATTAGGGAAATTCTCTTGGATTATTTCTGTGAATAGCTTTTTAGTCCATCTACTTGTGTCCCCACTTCTTCTTTTATGTTCTTAATTCTTAAGTTATAGATCCTCTTATCATCTTCTAGCCTTTGTATTGTTGTGTTTGTTTTTTTGTTATTTTTAAGAAGCTTTTCATTTCATGCTCCCATATTACAAATCTGCCCTCCAGTTCAGATAATCTATCCTTAGTTTCTTTCAAGCTGTTATGCCAGTTTTCAATAGAGTTTTTAGTTTCCTGGTAATCTCTTTGAACCTGCTTCACATGTTCTATGTCTTCTCTATTTTCTCCATCAAACAATTCTCCCCTTTTTTTCTGTTCTTCCATTCCACCATCTGTTTTTTCTTGGGCGGTGCTTAGCATTTCTCTCACTATTCTGCTTATGTCTTGCTTCAGGTCGTTAATAACTTCATTCCTGAACTCATCTATGAGGCTCTGGAGATAGCGCTTTATGTCTATTGGTGTCGTGTCTGCTATTGCATGTTTCTCAGGATTGGGGGCCAAGGACCCTTTCTTGTTGCTCCCTCTTCCCATATTTTTTGTTCCTTATATATAAGCATATATAGGAGGCCCAGCTTCCTTCCCTGTCGGCCACAGTCTGTTTGAATTGCACTGACTAGGTGTTCCCACCCACCGCAGCTCACCAGGGAGATACGGACCGGGAAGTCTATGCTGGGCCTGCCCCTCCAGGTCAACCTACTGAAGGCTTCACTGCTAGGGTGCACCTCCAGGTGCTGGGACCTGGGTTGGTCTAGCCTACTGGGTCTCAGCCAGCGGCATCACACAGGCCAGGCACTTCCCACCAATCCCGCTTGAGAGGGGAATATGTGACTGAAGTCACTGCAGCATCTCATTCTGGGTAGTCTGCCCGGTCCGAGTATGTCCTCTGCTGAAGCCTCCTTCTCTATGGAAGGGTCCCCGATCCGCTCACTCACCGTAGGTCAATGCAGGGCACCCGGCCAGTCCTGCTCCCAACTCCATTCAACACTTCCCACTCTCAGAGCCTTTGCACCTCTCTCCCCGCTGTGCCAACCGGGACACAGCAGTGGCTGCAGGAAATTCAAATCACAGCTTCCAGTGGCACGGGGTCCAGCTTCCACACTGAGACCTTATCTGTTCCTGCTGTATCACTGGGATTGTGTTTCCAGTTGGTTTCTCTTAATTTAGTTCATTCCTGGGTCAGCAAAGAATATCCCCCCTTGCCTAGGACTTCCTGCCCGGCACCATCCCTGGATTTCAAGTGTGGTTTCTCAGAGAGCCTCTGAAGCTGCTGCTATCTATCTGCCATGTTCTCCCAGACTCCAGCTTTCAGTCTTTACTCACATGCATTAGCAGGGTGAGGTATTTGGGCAAGGACTTCATCTGTGAGTGTTAGTTTCTTCACTTGTAGGAATACAAGTGAGACAGGATAGAAGAAAGTTTTTGGAGGTTTCAGTCCACACTCAGTTGGCTCCAAGACAGGCAGGCATGGCTGGGCTGCAGTTCATGGTGGCTGCCAACAGCAAACAGGAATGGGCAAAGAGCAAGACACACCTTCTTCCTGCCATTACATCACATCCTGGCTCCACCCTTGTAAATGATTCTCCATGGACTGGAATAGAAGACAATGATGTGTGACAGCTCTGCCCTATCATGTTAGCAGGCTTCTTCCTTCCTGGATGTGAATTTAGTCTCTGATAGAACTGTGGGGGACTGGTGGCGGCATTGCAATGCTTGAGGGTTTCCAAGGATCCTTTGCAGCCTGCAATAAGAAGTTACAGAAACTAGAGGTTCACTCAGCTTCAGGCTTTCAGCACAAGGGTGGGGAAGAGCCTGAGATTTCTTTTTAATAAAACGTGATCCCAGTTATTGATGCTGGGAAGTATTTCCCGTGTGGTTTGATTCATGTTCATGAACTCTCTACCTACCTCTATGTCTTCAAGGTTTTTACCTAATTTGTCTTCCAACAGATTTCAATCTGTTTTACCTAATTTGTCTTCCAATAGTGTTTCTGGTATAGTCTTCAGATATGTTATCCGTTTAGATTTTAGTTTAGTGCATGGTGATAGACATGAGTCTAGTGTTCGTTTTTGGCATATGGACAGCAAGTTTTTCCAACACCATTAAAGAGACCATCATTCTTCCAGTGAACATATTTGGCCCCCTTGTCAAAGATAAGGTGGTTGACTCTGTTTGTAGTTGTGGTTGTATCTTCTAATCTATTCCATTGATCTTCCGCTTTGTTTTTATTCCATACCCTGTTGATTTTCTTACAGTAGCTTTATAGTATAACTTCAAGTCAAGGGATTGTGATGTCTCCTGCCTTGCCTTTGCTGCTTAGAATTTCCTTTTGTTATTCTAGGTCTTTTCTGGTTCCAGATGAATTTTAGGAGTGATTTCCATATAACTATGAGGTATGTTAATGGCATTTTCATTGGGATTACATTGAATATGCATAACAGTTTTGGGAGAATGGCCATTTTCACAATATTTATTATTCCTATCCATGAACAAGGAACGTCTTTCCATTTTCTGAGATCCTCTTCAATTTCTTTTCCATGGTATTATAATTTTCCCTGTATAGATCTTTTACTTCTTTAGTGAGATTAATTCCTAAGCATTTCATTTTTTGGATGCTATTGTGAAGGGTGCAACTTCCCTTATTTCCGTGTAAGTGATTTTGTTGTTAGTGTATAGGAATGCTATTGATTTTTGAGTATTGGCTCTGTATCCAGCTACATTGATGAATTTATTTGTTATATCTAGGAGTCTTCAAATGGAGTTTTGGGGGTCTTCTATGTAGAGTATCTTGTCATCTGCAAACAATAATTTAACTTCCTCTTTTCCTATCTTTACTCCTTTTATTTCTCTCTCTTGTCTAATTGCTCTGGCTAGTATTTCCAGCACTATGTTTAATAGGAGCACTGATAAGGGCCATCCTTGTCTTGTGACTGATTTTACAGTAAAGACCTTCAGTTTTTGACCATTTAATATGATGCTGGCTGTTGGTTTGTCATAGATGACCTTTTTCATATTGAGGTAAAGACCATCTATTCCAAGTTTCTGTAAGGTTCTTGTCATGAATGACGTTAGATCTTATCAAAACATTTTCTGCATCTATAGAAATGGCCATGTGATTGGGCTTTGGACTCTACTGATATAGTGGATTACATTTATTGATTTACATATGTTGAACTATCCCTGCATGCCTGGTATGAATCCCACTTCTTTATGGTGTATAATCTTCTTGATGATTTGCTGCATCCTATTTGCCAATATTTTATTGAGGATTTTTGCATCTGTGTTCATTAAGTTGTGTTGGGAGCCGCGTCTGTGATAGTTCGCCTTACTTGGCGGACGTGCGGCCTGTAGTAAAGAGTGAAGCCTGAGGTAGATTACCCCTCCCATCGAATATGTTAGTTTCCTGCTTACCGCGTAAACAACTCGCTCAATAATATAGTCTGCCTGGCAACTGATGATGTTAGCCAATCAGCTTGCCTTGCTTACTTTAACATGATTGGACACTGTATCCGTATATATACCGGTGCCACCCCTGGGAGGAAAAAGAAGCCAGGTAGAAGCCCGGAAGTAGAAGCCCAGAAGGAGCTGCGGAGAGCGGACCGGTAGAGGCTTTGGGGCAGGCTGAAGCACAAAAGGAGCCGCGGGGAGCGGACCAAAGGAGGCTTCAGCTGGGAGAACCCAGGGCAGGCTGTACGGAGAAGAAGAATAAAAAGAAAAGGTTGTCCACTACCAGACTATGTCGTGTGTCCTTCCTGCCGGCCGGGAGCGGACATCGACATTTGGAGGCCCGCCCGGGGACTGATCACCCCCGCGACGTGGAAGTGGACAACGCTCCAGTACAGAGCTGCGAGACAGGTGAGTTGGGGATAAGCCTGGGCTCTGGGTGGCGCGCACCTACAGGGCTTTTAGACTCCCCTCAGGCTCACGCGTAAGTGGCGGATTCCTTGGGCCTCACGCGGTGAGTAACATATTAAAAAATGGGAAACATGCTAGGTAGCGGCACTAAGAGCGAGGGTGGTTGTGGAGAAAGCTCTCAAGAGCTTACAAAAGTACGCAGGGTATCTGAGCAGGCCCAGTCAGGGAGCTCCCGAGAGGTGTCTGTCAAGGGGAACAAGGATGCTAAGGAGGAGGACGGGGCTCTAGCCTCGGAGTCGTCTGACTCCGAGGACGAGGGAAAGTTGAATGGCAGGGAGGCCAAAGAGACTAGCTGTCAGGAGCCTAAGTCGCTCCATAAGGAGTCGGGTCTGCGGAAGAGTAGAGAGCTCCCGAGTGCGCCCCGGCGCGAGAGGGAGGCAGAGCCTTCCGCCCCACCTCGGGGGCCGTTTCCGGAGGCGATCCCTCGCCACGAGGCGGCCGCGTGGGAGCTCCCTCCCCTTTCGTCAGAACAGGAAGTGATGCACGGGCCCCCATTCTCCGCCCAATCACGGCCGCTGTCTTATGCTCCGCCGCCGGCAGGTCGGTATTTTTACAGGCGGCTTTGGCAGGGGAGACGCTTGTTTCATGAGGTACATCCACCACCTGGGATGGATAGTGACCCCTATGGGATATTTCCTGTACAAGTGGCTATAGGCCAGGGACGCAATGTACGGGAGCCTTTTGAGATAAAGCAGATTAGAGAACTTAAAAATGCAGTTACAACTTTTGGGCCGACTGCGCCTTACACCATTGCCATGCTGGAGAATCTGTCTTCTGGGCCCCTCACCCCCGCGGACTGGATTCAGCTAGCAAAGGCGTGTCTGCCCTCGGGTGGTTACCTGGATTGGCGAGCCTGGTATGCAGAGTCCTCTGCAGAGCAGGCTGAGAGAAACGCCAATCGGGGAGACCGGGGGTGGAACAAAAAAATGCTTGTGGGAGAGGGTCGGCGCGCTGATGGTCAGACTCGGTTCCCCGGCGCTCTCTGGCGGGGAGGAGATAGAGAGCCATCCGCTCCGCCCTGGAGCTCTTTTCTAAAAGCGGCTCCCCGCCGAGAGGCCGCCACAGGAAACCCTCCCTTCCCTCAGCCGGCACAGGAAGTGACGCCCCGTTTCACTCTGTCGCGACCGCAGTCTTATGACGTCGCGCCGCTGGGCAGACGGTATTTTCATGGGCGGCTACTCTGCCGAGCAGGCTGAGAAAAACGCCGGTCGAGGAAAAAGGGGCTGGGGATTTAGCTCAGCGGCTTAAGCGCCTGCCTTGCAAGTGTGCAGTTGTTAGTTCGATCCCTGGTACCAATAAAAAAAAAAAAAAAAAAAAAAAAAAAAAAAAAAAAAAAAAAACGAAAAAGATAAAAATAAAAAATAAAAAATAAAAAACAAAAAGGGGGAGTAAACCCTCGAGGTTTGATCCCTGGTGATGTTTGGCAGATGGACATCACACATATACAGGAGTTTGGGACTCTTAAATATGTTCATGTTTCCACAGACACCTGTTCTCACGTCATATTTGCAACAGCAGAAACAGGTGAAAAAGTGTCTAATGTGATCAATCATTGCCTGGCGGCTTGGGCCGCATGGGGCAAACCAAAAATATTAAAAACTGATAATGGACCAGCCTATATAGGCAAAGCCTTCAATGAGTTCTGCAAAATGATGGAGGTTCAATTAAAACATGGTATCCCATACAATCCCCAAGGTCAAGGAATCATTGAGAGGGCTCATAGAAGCCTCAAAGAAATTTTACAAAAACAAAAAGGGGGAGTAGGCCAAGGCCTGGCCCCAAAGGCACGATTATCCATGGCACTATTCACACACAATTTTTTAAATTTAAATAATGATAATCGCTCCCCAGCTGTGGAGCACTGCAACCCTTCCCCCAACCATAAAGGGTGGGTGAAGTGGAAAGATGTCCTGACAGGACAGTGGATGGGCCCGGATCCAGTGGTCAGCTGGAACCGAGGCGCGATTTGTGTTTTCCCACAGGAACCGGGACGAGAACCACTGTGGATACCGGAGAGACTGACACGGGCAACAAAGCCCTCGACTGAAGATCAGACCTGCCCTACCGGAGATCCATCACAGACCAACCAACAAGATGAATAGAAATAGCGGTAGCCCGAAATGGACAAAAAGATCCTCAGGCATATGCATGGCTCGCTCGCCTAGCCTACGACCGAGTCTAGGGACGGTGAGCTTCTCACACTCCTCCTCTAAAAAATTATGATATAGCAGGGTAGATGAGTCAATGACGGGTAAGAGCGTGCCTCCCCAGCATGACTCGACCTAAGCCAGGCCCTACCCCATCCTGCACGTAAGCCGCTGGACTGTTAGATGCTGCCCAGGTCTAAATTTCTCTCCGAGGGGATTTCTTTACGGAGAGGAAATGAGTGCAAGCTTGTGTGCATCCAGGTTCCGTCCAGTTTGTGCCTGGCCCTAGAAAAAGGACGAGGGCCTCAGGGCCTTGGCAGACCATGGCATGGCCAACCAGGGTCTAAGCCAAGGACCTACGGTGGGCCTACGCATAGGGCATAAGCCTCTGCACCCAGTCCAGGAAGGGCTACGATGCGCACATTCATAAAAAATAAAATAGGGGGAGATGTTGGGAGCCGCGTCTGTGATAGTTCGCCTTACTTGGCGGACGTGCGGCCTGTAGTAAAGAGTGAAGCCTGAGGTAGATTACCCCTCCCATCGAATATGTTAGTTTCCTGCTTACCGCGTAAACAACTCGCTCAATAATATAGTCTGCCTGGCAACTGATGATGTTAGCCAATCAGCTTGCCTTGCTTACTTTAACATGATTGGACACTGTATCCGTATATATACCGGTGCCACCCCTGGGAGGAAAAAGAAGCCAGGTAGAAGCCCGGAAGTAGAAGCCCAGAAGGAGCTGCGGAGAGCGGACCGGTAGAGGCTTTGGGGCAGGCTGAAGCACAAAAGGAGCCGCGGGGAGCGGACCAAAGGAGGCTTCAGCTGGGAGAACCCAGGGCAGGCTGTACGGAGAAGGAAAATAAAAAGAAAAGGTTGTCCACTACCAGACTATGTCGTGTGTCCTTCCTGCCGGCCGGGAGCGGACATCGACAAAGTTGATTGGTCTGTATTTGTCTTTTTTAGTTGGGTCCTTCTCACGATTTGGTACTAAAGTAATATTTGCTTCCAGGAATAACTTAGGAAAGATTCCTTCTCTTACAATTTCATTGAAGTGTTTGAGGAGTGTTGGCATTAAGTCTTCTTTGAATTTCTTGTAGAATTCCACAGTGAATTCATCTGGGCCTGGGCTCTTCTTTTTAAGTAAGGACTTAATTACATTTGCAATTTCATTAATAGAAATTGGGTTATTCAGCAGTTGACCCAGCTTTAGTAATTCATATGTTTCTAGGAATCTGTCCATTTCTTCTGTGTTACTGAAACGATGAGAGTAGAGGTTTTTGAAATAGGTGATGATGGTCTTCTGCATTTACACAGTCTATAGTTATTTCACCTCTCATTCCTTATTGCATGAATTTGAGCTTTTTCTTTCCTTTTTTTAATAAGGTTGACTAAGGGCTTATCAGTTTTATTTATTCTTTCAAAGAACCAGTTCTTTGATTCACTGATTCTTTGGATTGTTTTCTTAGTCTCTATTGCATTAATTTCTGCTCTGATTTTTATAATTTCCTCCCTTCTTTTGGCTTTGGGCTTGACTTGCTCTTCTTTTTATAGATGTTTAAGGTGTAGTGTCAGGTTGTTTATTTGTTTTCATTCTGTTTTCCTGATGTGAGAACTCAGTGCTACAAATTTTCCTTTGAGGACCTCTTTCATTGCATCCCACAGAGTCTGCTAAGTTTTTTTTGTATTTTCATTTGCTTGTAGATATTGTTTAAGTTCTTCTTTAATTTTGTCTGTGACTCCCTGATTGCTCTAAAAGTGTATTATGCAATTTCCGTGTGTTTGTGTGATTTTTGCTCTTTCTTTTATTGTTAATTTCTGGTTTCCTGCTGTTATGATCCAATAACATGCATGGGATTATTTCAATTCTTTTGCATTTATTTAAATATTTTCTGTGAGCTAGTATATGGCCTATTTTAGAGAATGACCCAAGTACTGCTGAGAAGAATGTACATCATGATGTTGTTGGATGGAACACTCTGTATATGTCTTTCAAGTCCATTTGTTCACAATTGTGATTCAGTTCTGTTATTTCTTTGCTGATTTTCTGTCTGGTTGATCTGTCCCTTGGTGTCATGGTGTGTTAAGGTCTCCTGTTATAACTGTGTTATTGCTTATTTGATTTTTCATTTCTGTTAAACTTGCTTTGTATAGCTAGGTGCTCTGGAATTTGGTACACATATATTTAAGATTGTTATCTCTTCCTTTTGAAGTTTTCCCCTAATTATTATATAGTGATTTTCTTTATTTCTTTGGATCATTCTTGGTTTGAAGTTCACATTGTCTGCAAACACAATAGCTACCCCTACTTTTGGGGGCATTCCTGTTGCATGAAGTATTGTTTTCCATCCTTTGACTTTCAGTCTATGAGTTTCCTTTTGGGTTAGATGGGTTTCTTGTAGACAGCATATGGTTGGATTTTGTTTCTTGATCCATTCTGCCAGTCTGTTTCTTTTAATTCATGAATTGAGACCATTTACATTAATGGTTTTAACTGTTATATATTGGTTTATTGTTGACATGTTATCTTTCTGCTGTTGCATTTTTACCTTTCCATTCTGTTTAATTGTCTGCTTTGCTTAGTGGTTTTTTTCCTTACCTGTATATAGAATGTCTTTCTGTATTCTTTGCAGGGTTGGTTTGGTGATCATGAAGTTCTTCAGCTATTCTTTGTCATGGAAGTGTCTTATTTCTCCATCCATTTTGAAGGACAGTTTTCCAGGGTACATCAGTCTAGGTTGGAAGTCATTTTCCTTTAAGATCTGAAACACTTTGTTCCATGCTCTTCTTGACTTCACTGTTTGTATTGAGAATTCTGTTGTGATTCTGTTAGGTTTTCTTTTATAGGTGATCTGTCTCTTCTAACAACCTTTAATATTCTATTCTTATGTTGGATTTCTGTGATGGTAGTTATTATATGTCTTGGGTAGTTTTATTTTGGTTATGACTATTTGGACCTCTATATGCTTCACTAATCCATATGTCAATTTCTCTTCTTATGTTTGGGAAATTTTCAGTTATTAATTCTGCAAATAGGCTCTTGATATCTTTTTTGTTGTCCCTTTCTTTTTCATTGATCCCTATCAATCTTATGTTGTTTTTCTTTGCATCATCATCTTGCAGCTGTCGAATTGTTATTTCCTGATTCCTTGTTATTTTTAAAAGATCTTTCCTTTCCTGTTCACTGGCTGCAATCTTGTCTTTGAACTCTGAAATTCTATTTTCACTTTCATTGAGGCAGTTTGGACAACTTTCAATGGAATTTTTGATTTCTTGTATATCTCTTTGAATCTACTTCATGTATTCTGTTTGTTTCTTTGATTGTTCATCCAGGGATTCTATCTTTTTGCATTGTTCCTCCAATTTTATAACTGTGTCTTCTTCAGATATGTTCAATGTTTCTTTTGTTATTTTTATCATTTCTTCTTTTACGTGGGAGGTTATTTCTAATTTTAATTCCTTTAAAACTTCCCGGAGTTGCTTCTTTATATCAGTGGCTATTATTTCAGGTATTTCAGGTGTATGGCATGTATTTTCTTCTACATACATGGCTCCTAAGCTTTCTTGGGATGAGCTGGAGGTTTGAGATTGCATTTTGGTCTTTTGTCTTGTCATTTTCCTGCATTTCCGTGTTTCAAGTGATATCCCAATGCTTTTCCTGGGCATGTTGGAAATCACCTCCTATGCCCTTGGCTTCTGGGAATGAATGGAGGTTGCTAAGTGTGGTCCAGTTAGGCTCACAAGATCTCTTGTGCCACCTCTGGTGTTCCAGGAAGCTGGCCAGTCTTCTAACCACTGTGCATGATGTTCCAAAGCTTTCTCTGGGCTAGCACCAATGTGATGGGACTCTCCTCATGTACCTTCACCTCCCCTGATTGAATAAGGTCACTGGGCATGGTCTAATTGGGCCTGTGAAACCTCTAGAGCCTAGTCCAGTGTGTCTGGAAGCTGGGAGGCACTTAACTGCTGGGAGTGATCATCTTAGGCTCTCTCTGCCCCACGCCAGTGCACTGGAACTCACCTCGTGTGACCTCAGCTCCCTGAGTTGAAAGAAGGTCGCTGAGGATGGTCTAGTTAGTCCCACGAAATCTGACAAGCCTAGTCTAGTGTGGTTGGAAGCTTGCTGGGAGTGATGATCTTAAACTCTCCCCAGGCCTGTGCTGGTGTGCTAGAACTCACCTCACACATCCTCAGATCCCTAGATTGAAAGAAGGTCACTGGGCATGGCCCAGCTAGGCCCTTGAAACCTGCAGAGCCCAATCTAGTGTGGCTGGAAACTGGGCGGGCACTTAACTGCTGGAAGTGATGATCTTAAATTCTCCCCAGGCCCATGCTGGAACTTAACTCACACAGTCCCGGTTCCCCCTATCACACACCCTCAATCCATATTCACACATCCTAGACTCAATCATCTCCAAAAAGCTCCACCGATGAGCACATAAAGCTTTTCAGGGCACCTAAACACAGGTCATAACAAACACTATTGCAAAAACATTACTCCATCTGTAGTATTATGTTAACACAGTAGAAAATGAAGTAAGACAAGACACAAAATGTAGTTTATGAACAAAATCAGTATGGGAAAACATACTAGACAGATAAGGATCAGCCAATCAGCCCTAAGAGGCAGGGGATCATCAGATGTTCAGATACCCAGAAAGGGTGGTGATTGAGGGGTCCACACTGAGAAGGCACCCACAGAGTTAGGCACGTCATTCACAACATGGTGACCAGGAAGCTGCAATGAGCCACATTCTTGTCCCCCAGCACATCTGCTCTCCCAGGCAGCCTCAATATATCACTTGGAGAGATGCTGACAATTCCGTCCCAAAGAAGCACATAGTGTGGGATGAGAGAATCTGAGCCTGGAGACAGTGGCCAGAAGGAGAGGAATGGTGTAAATGATGGTCTTTCACTAATGCTCATTTCCTTGCTGCACAGGCTTCAAGATGTTAGCTCTGTGCATTATAGGAAACTTACATCTGAGGATGGGTTTGAAAAATGGAAGGGGAAGGAAACACTAAGTAGCCTGCTGTTTTTCACTTAGTAAAGTGAATCAGGATTCTTAGGCATATCTAAGTTTAAGACACAAGATAATTCTCATCTTCAAAGACACTAAAAGTAGTAAATCTCATCAAAGGCTTCCCTTCTTACCACATGAAATCACATCATGGCTTTTAGTACTCTGGTGCTCAGACACCCAGAGTTAAGCTTCCTTTGGACACAAGGCCATCTGGGGTGGCTATGAGCTCCACCGGCTGTGGAGACTTCTGTGCCCTGAGTGGCCTCCCTTCTCCACAGACTGTGGGAGTCTTGCTTCTAAACTATGAAGACAGAAGATTATCAGGGTGCCTTGTATACTCTGCATTTGCTTTTTTGAGGGGAGGCCCCTGCAGCACATGTGCAGCTGCCTTCCTCACTTGCTGAGCACCCCAGACAGCTTCTGCAGGGCACAGTCAGTGGTGTGCATGTAAATTCAGACTGCTGCATTATGGGTCATAGGCATGCTGAGAGATTGACATATCTTCCATATAACAATCACACTTTAATTTTGTATTACAATATTAATGAGTAATCAATACTTTCACTTGGGGAATTAAAGAAAATAGAATCACATGTAAATATGCTGTTGAAACAAGGCCTTTTGCCTTTCACTTCCATCTCACAAGCCCAAGTCCACATCTCTTAAGTCCTGGGGGCGCTCCATAGCATAGCTCCCAGTTTCAACCCTGTCACAACACAGTGCCCTTCCCATGGCCTTCTCTGTATTTCTCAGAGCTGCTGGATTGGCTTTCCCTCCTTACAAACTCCTCTGTGCCCTTAGAGACTCCCAGGCTCCCTGGTACTTCTTCCACACTCCTCGCAGCCAGAGTGACACTCTCTACATTT